TGCGAGATATTGCCTGCTCCGAATAAAAATTAAAACGAAGTCATTTATCGCGCATTGAACTTACGTCGGAGCTGACTAAAAAAAGCCGGCGAGCTCCTATGAGTGAAATTATCATCGTTTAGCGGACCGCAGGCTGAAATGACGCTTAATTTTACAGCCATTTCACTCTCATCGGAAGACAAATTAGCGACAATCGCAGGTTACGCGGCGGAAAATTTTACGGGCACTTTGAGAGCGAGCAAATCCCGGCTCCGGCGGGAGCGGCGCGCTGCACTCGACATAAATAAACCATAAAAGTCGGCCACGGGAACTCCTGAAAGGGGGCTGAAAATCCGTGAGCTTTATCTGTTTTAAATTACATGTTTTATGTTAATCTCGGAGGAGAAGCAACGGAAATAAAGTTCCGTAATGATTGCGTTAAAATAAAAATAAAGCCCGGGGAAAAAAGGAAAGATCCTGATCCGAGCGACGATCCCTGTGTTTGCGCCTGGAGGTTATTCCTCCCGCGCCGCGCCGGGAATGCGCTCCGTGGGGGTGAGACACTTGATAATTTTATACAATTGCCAATGGTTTAGAAAATGGCCATCAAGCTTTAATCAGTAAACCACCCTCTCGCCGGCTCGGCTCGGCGCGGCGCGAGCGGGGCCTTTACATGAGGGTGGCTCCTGTGTGTTAAGTTATTGTAAAATTTGCATAATCTGTTGGGACGTTATTAAATTTGATTTTTCGCTTTCTTCGCCTTGACGGCCCCCGCTCCCCCGCGCGCAGCCCTTAATTTCCTCCGTGAGCGTTCCGCGCATACCTCTCGCTTACTCGTGTCAGAGTGTTTATTGGTTAATGGCTGACGTGACGAGAAAAGGCCCCGCTCCGTCCCTTGCAACGCGATCGCGGGACTTAGTGCCGCGCACCATCTCACATCTTCATTTTCGGCTTCGTCGCCCCTGGACGCGTGTGAGGGTGTTGCGTATTGTTGGATATAGCCACATGAATAAACGAACTGCATTAAAGTGGTGGACCCTTTCACATCGAGGAAGTGATATCTGATATTTTGAATCGATACATGACCGAGGTTCGTTTTGAGCCAAACTGGAGTAGTTCTTTAGTATAGGGTAACTAAACTGCGTCAGAAACGAATAAGGAGAAGAAATAGACCGAAAAACTTTGCCCAAAAAACATACACAATCCCATGAATATTTTATGAAAATTAAGCCCCCTTTCCCAAAATCGCATATATAATTGTATGAAACAACGTAATTAGTGCAACTGGATGCATATTAATCGGATGTAAATGATGAACATCATTCTTGGACGACATTGCTGCTTTTGAGTTGATTTTTATAGTTTTTGCAATACTGCAAGTACTCTTTCATGTCAAATATATAAAGACGTCATTACAAGCCTCAGATACAATCAATACGACAAGCAAATCGATTGAAAGCAGTAGTACCGCTGCCCGAAATTAATGTTTGCACTTTCGTTGCGTCGTCTCTTCAAGTTCAATTTTAAAGGAGCACCAGGGCGCTGTTATGATTCTGTCAGTCGGATTTGAGTTACTGGCAAATTTTTCACAACCATGACAACTCTGTTTGGACAGCTCATTTGATCTAGAGAGTCGAATGCATTCAAATGTGAGTTAGGACCTAAATGAGAGTTGAATAAGCTTACAATATAATATAGGTCAGACTGGAGGATCTCTGACCTTTCTGAAGGCAAGCCTCGTTGGCCCCGCGGCCTCTGCCCCGTTGCCAGTTCGCCACGAATACCCGTATTTACCCGGCGTGAAAAAGTGGGTTTAACGGGCCCGTCGCCCGGCCATGGAAGGCGGTCATTTATCAAGAATGGAGGTCCTTTGCGATGCTACGTCGTTATGCTGTCATATCAAATCATTGCGTGCTCTGCGTGACGGCTATCCTCTCGACTGCCATGTGCCATCTCGCTCTGCTGTTTCTGATTCTGATGCATCCGAGTTTCGAAAGGTGTCGCGAACCGAGGAAAGACATTCATTCCTCGCCAATGATGTTTTGTTTTCTCCACGCTTTCGACTTAAATTTGTCAGGAATTAAGATCCTCTTGGAACTTCGAATGCGAGGACTGACTCAGTAGGATGAAAGGAAACTTTCCCTTGTCCGCCGTAAGGTGCACTGAAAAAAATATGCCGGTAGATTTTACCATCTCTGACACAGTGATACGAATATAGTAATAAACACCAGACTCTATGGTGGCATTTACCATACTATGGTAAGAATCACCAGAGTTCTGGCGAATACTACTATAATTCTGGTTATTTCCACTAAATAGTATCACTGTGTAAAAAATCAAGTAGACTCATAGTAAATGTCACCATACTTTTTTTTCAGTGTGGAACGTATGTTCAAATAAGCAAAATAGCAATTAATTTTTTTCGTGTTTTTAGACAATTTTTAGGTACTGGTAACGCTATGCCATAGTGGGGAGAGTACCTGTGTATTATGATAGGTCAGTTACGTGTTCTATAGGAATTATGATTCAAATTTCATTAATAAGCAAAAAGCACACGCCGATTTTCGCCCACCATTCTATTTTTTCCGTGTATATTCTTGCAAATTTTCAATCTCGGTTGTGATCGCGGTCAATTTTTAATGTTACGAGCGTCCTTTCGTAAGGATGCCACCCCCCCCCCCTCACCCTTTTTACTTTGAATTTGATCATTTTAGGGTGCAATTTTGATCTTTTGATGAGTTTAGCACATCCGAGGTATTTATTTTTTTTTGAAAATTTGGCCCGTTCATGAAAATTTTGACTCCGCCCCTAAAAAATTTGACTCAAATGGCGCTCCTGCACGCGGCCAAAATAGTGAAGTGAAAAGAGCGAAAGCTCCCAACGGAGGCCACAGAGCCAATTTGAGGTACACTAAAAGCCGAAGTGGGAAATGGTGTTCGGAGCTCACGCCCGAACCTCACTTGATAGATAATAATCATTGTCATCACGTACTCGAATGACGGCGCGAAAATCAAAACTCCCCGGTCGGGATTTGCATAATAAGGCCCCTGACTGGAATCCCTGTCCGGGCGGAGGGGAGAGGGGAGGAGGGAAATGGCGGGTGGGACATCCTTGCTCCCGTGGTTGGTTTGTTTATTAATCAAATGATACCGACTCACCCTTTTCCCGGACCGGCGCTGCGCCGGGAACATCCATCAAACACCCGTAAAATGTAATACATTAACGCATTCCCTTTTAATGAAATAAAACGGTTTTAAACTCCGCAGTCGTATTACACGAATGCAATTTAGAAGTTATGCAGTAGGGGGTGCCAAGCCTATCCGCCGTGCTGCCAAACTCACCCTGGTCGCTTTTCACGGTTAACGTTCGGGTTGACGCGAAGGAAAAATGGATTTTCTCGCCTAAGCGGAAAAGTGGCATGGCGCAGTCATGTAGTGGGATGGGGTGGAGAAAGCTGTGGCGTGTTCGTACCATGGGTTTTTCTCCCGCGCTGGTATCTACTTTCTAAGGTGTCAAACGTTTTATGTATTGAATAGGGTTGTTGTGCGAGGTGCGCTCGGAATTTTTTTTTCTCGCGCTTATGAATTCAAAACACCTGTGTTACCTCGACTTTCTTTCATGTTGAAGCACAGCGCATTAACCACAAACGTTTGAAAATGTATTTAATAATTTCGATTCATGGTTTTTACTAATATTATTTCCGGTGGTGATACACCACCGAGGGGGGGGGGGGGGGGTCTATTTACTACAAGGTATAGTTATTCGGGATGGAAGGTGTCCATCATATTATAATATCAACCCTTTAAAACTCTTAACCTTATTGATTTTTACTGAATATAAAGTCGGATCTTTCGGGACCACCCTACTAATAATATTTTCCTCTATCATGCATTAATTTTGACTATAGTCGGAATTTTTATGATAGAATTTTAAATTCCATATGAAATTAGGAAGTATAAAATAAGGCAAAGCATGAGTAAAATTAAAACAAAAAGAAGCAATTTTTCTATTACTTCAATATAGTTGGACTCTATTCTAAATAACTTTCTATTTTTTTCTTTACGTATCAAATCATTGAAACTCACGTTTCTTGCGTACCAATGTAAACTCTTCCGTGAGTAAGAAGAAGCACTGAACATGGAAAAATCTTGTCCAAATGCCAAAACGAACAGGTAGGTGCGTTCGTCCTGTTAGAGAGGGATATCTAAGGAAAATCACGAAATAATGCTGCTTATGACGGCTATTAAAACCGTTTAATGACCCCGCAAACAAACAAACTTCCTACTGTAACATTTTTATGTTAAAAGGAACTATGTGCATAGGGGTCGCGTGTAACATAGTTCCTTTTAGCATGAATACGTCCTGTTGTTGCCACGATAAAAGGGGCAGAAATCGGGCCCAAAATCTCCTCTGGGTCTTTGAAGTGTTTCTCCGTTTACACTAACACCTCGATCTTTGTACGCTCCTTCTTTTACAGCAGCCAGCTTTATGTACGCTTTACGAGTACGCGCGCTCTCCCCGGAATTGTTTGGTTTAACTTCTTTATCGCCTCTCTTTTTAAATACTACAAATGTAAGATCGCTCGTAAATAAGACGGTAATTAAAATATTTGCTGTTCGAAACCCAAAACTTGAACGCTTGTACAGACGAGGTTTCCCCCACTTTCCCCGCGATCCGAATAGATAAGGGCATCATTACATCATGTGTTTTTGACGGATTGCTCTTTAATGGTTCGTTTTACGGTCTTGCTTGCGCATGCTTCCCAGCGGAGTGATATTTACATAATTTGACCCATCGTATGTTTCACCCCAAACGATATTTACTCAGAAGACACCCGCTTTAGTTATATTAGTGTCGGTGAGGTGTCAATCAAATTGCTCATTAGATCATTTCTACTCAAGTTATATACCACAAAATTCTAATTTCTCTGCACCTCTCATTCAATTCTGAACTCTCGTAGATAGCTTACTTTGTACCGAAAAAGACACTAAAGTCTCTGTTTTTTTTTTTTTTTGTTTCAGATGCAATTGGTAAGTCGTACATTATATTCGATTTTCCAGAACCGTAAGTCATCTGATACCATAATTTTTTTTTAATAATTTTATGCATCTATTAATCCAGTGCACAGGAAAAGGCCTTGTAGTGGCTGTTAGACTGCCTGGTCGTGTATATTTCGTAGTAAATCTAGTAGCCAGTACCACAGGTCTAGTATTGGCTTCTAGATTCACTGGACATTTACGAGACGGATTGTTCAACATTATCAGAGGTCCAGTATACCAGCTACTAGATTTCCTGGGGACCATGTACAGTGCCTAAACTAGTTTTTTTTTACATACACACATAAGAGTCGCTCTCGCAGCGCTCTCTGGCGCTCTGCAACGCCCAACTGCCACCAAACTCGGTTCTCCCACAACCCATCAGGAGTGTAGCCTTTTACAGTGGAGAATAATGGGGATCATAGTATTTCAAAAATCCGCTCAATTTTTGGAACGGTAATTTTTGCTCCCGATCACCGAGAATAACGCTCCAGATAACACAACCAATTGCAACTACCATCAATGCACTAGAGAATAAAGGTTTGAAGAGGCCATGTTAATTATTGATGGACATGACGAGTTGCGTTCCGATTTCCATCCCATTTTTGACGATTAAAATCTGAAATTTTTTCGACTCGAAATTATGAAACCACGCAGACCTCAAAATTTTAGTGGACGATGAGACGGCCCGGGAAGACTCAACAAGCGTGTCTCAATTACACCGACCAAGAGTGACCGATCGTCGAGGAAAATACGCGACCGGGCCCGTCGCGCCGCGAGACGGAACAAAATTTTGATTGAAAAGACGTAATTAAAAAGTGATTAATGAGGATTTGCGGATCGCGGACAGCGAACCGAGGAACGTCGCGATGCGGACCGGAACGGCGAGGGTGTGGACGGGACGGAACCGTGGACGAGGACCACACACGCTCGAAAATAATTCCCTGCCAGCTGTCAACGGGGCACTCATCATATTAGCTTATCTTGTCCGTATTTACATACAATGACAACTGCCCCGTCGCTGGTTCGTCTTCTTTTTCGCGGTCCGGACCGGAGATAAAAATCGATTACCCGACAACAACGATTTCACCATTCATCGGCTCCTTCGATGGATGGTGGCTCAAGATCCTATGCCTTGATCTCGCTAATGGCCGCCGTTGCCGATTGAATCACGCATGGATGAAAAAAATCTCGATCATGTGAACAAATTTCGGTTCACGAGGAGCACCGAAGTTCTTGATTCAGGTAACCGAAAACCCCGGACATAAAAACCAAAATTCTCGATCTTAAAAACCAATAATTTCTGCTCTAAAAATGGAAATTTTTCGTCAAGAGTTTGAGCACTAGTATGGCTTATACAGAAGCTGAAGGACCTTGAAGTAGAGTTCGGTTGCTTCGATCAAAAACTGCGTTTGCTGGAGCCGAAAACATTGGTGCTTCATTTGGACCGAGGTTTTTTTTTTATTAAATTTTTTTGCGGTATCACTTTTTTCGGATAGTAGCAGCAGTTAGCCTTACCGGATCAATATCATGAAAGTAGACATTTTTTTATACCGTTTTATAAGGTACAGCTGAAATTAGCCTACCAGAAGGAAGTCTGAATATCTCTCACTGGGAATTTGATCCAATTAGCACGTCTCATTCAAATTTTCGGCGGGAGCAGGAAGTACTGAAATTCAAATTCCGGATCCGTAAATATTTTCCAGTATAAATTCTAACCGTAGAAAGTTGTATGGCCTCAGTTTATGGAGTGCATTCGTTTTCAAGCTGAAAACTCCCAAGCCTCCAACCCTCGTATCGTTGAATCGGCAGCGATTCCATTCGAAGGGAAGTCGCGACTCTTCCACTTGAAATTTTCCGATTGCACACCGTCAAAGCACAAACAATTTTCCAACTTGAAATTCAAAGGGACTTGCGTGGAAAGCCATCGACATGCTTGCCAGATCAGAACCGAAATCTGTTCTTTTCGAACCGCGCGGAAAGGAGGAACCTGTCTCCTGACCACGATCCGGCGGCCTCGTCACTGAATAATTACGACGTTCCGTGTCGCGGGTGAAATTGAGTTGGAAGCGGCTAAAGGGGCGAAAAAAAGGAACATCTCCGGCTCCGGAGCGGACGGCGAATTGGTGATTCCGCTCACAGGCGCGTCGGAAAAAGGTCAGTTCTTTTGCGGAGACCAAATTGAATAAAAATGCCGCGGTCGGACTGACTTAAGGGCTCGAAAAAGCTGTTTCACATGGACTGACTAAGCAATTTTTACGTTTCCTCTCGCCGGAGCCCGGGCTCCCGTTGATGGAGTGACCGCTGCTGCGCCGAGCCGGGAAATCTCCGGGGAGTTTTCTTTTTATATGACTCAAGTGATCCGCGGGCAGGTTTTATTGGATTGCCATTTGATGTCGGCCAAGGAGCACTCCTCTCTATTAAAAAGCCATCGCGTAATGGTCCTCGAGCCAGAGCTCGAATCTCCTGAGTTTTATCCCGCCGATTCCCGGAGCTGCGTCGATAATCATAACCTCGTTTGCTATCCGATCTTTGAGTGAAAATCCTGTTCTCGCGTCGCTCTATCCACTGTCGTGCCAACAGGGATCGTATACAATCCGGAGCTTCAAATCGCCTGCGGGCTGATCGTTGAAATTGATAGACAAAGCGATAGACAAAGAAGACATAAAGAGTATGGAGCGATCCTATTGGTTGAAATGGGTAGTTCCTATAGACTATAAGGGGGAAATGATGGACTAACTTTAAGGTCTCTTTTCGGTTGCCTTTAGGTAGTCTATCACTTACCTCCTTTGTCCATACCATCGCAAACATCCGTTTCAACCAATAGGATCGCTCCGAATTTTCTATGTCTTCTTTGTCTACAGCTTTGTCTATCCATTTCAATGATCAGCCTGCTGTGACATTCTTTGGCATGTATTCTTCAATGTTAAAACTGTATTGAGCACCAATGAGCAAAAGATAACCAACTGCCATAGTAAATAAAAAGTTAACAAAGGTTTTTAGACTGCGTAAAAGCATATTGTCCCCTCCTAAGAATTGAATGTCCATCAAAATATTTAGTGTGGAAAAAGTTGCCCCTTGAATTTTGTACTCTACATACCAAGCTTCAAGGAGGTATGCAACTTAAAGCAATGTGTCTCCGTGTGGAGTCGATTTCACCTGGTTCCTTCATTTGAATCCATTAAAATTATCGATTTTAGGTGAGGCAAGCTGTATCGCCAAGATTCGATTGTTCCACATACATTGTAATAAAGGGAAAACAGTTTCGGCAACTTACAAGAATTGCCACCGGTCTAGAGAGCGTTGCTTCTTAAAAGAATTACATGAAAGGAAGCTTTATGTTAAAGGCCACTCAATTGTTGAATATAAGGCATTCCGAAGGAAAGCAAACCCAGCCGATTTGATTTTTTTGACTTTTAAACACAGGCTATTTCATCCTCTCCCGTTCGGTTGAAAATACCCTGCGCTCAACCCAAGGAACCAGTCTTGAAATGTATTTTTAAATACCAGCCCAATTTTTGACTCAGAATAGTTAAATGTCATTTAACTAATCTCAGGCCTTGTTCGAGGTTTATAGGTGTTGTGTTCAAAGTATTAAGGGTATAAATGGAGCGGTGCGCTCCGTGCCCGAGAAGGAGCACAACACGGTCAACCCCTCTAATGACATAATGATGGTGAAAAAATGAATTCGTTGAAATTAGCCCTTTAAAAACTAATATATCCTGCACGCAGCATCTGCCCTGCGGCGAAATGCTCACTTATTCTCCAAGCTTGATGATATTATAATGTTATTGTTCTTAATATCTCTCGGATTATTTAAACGGGCGAAGCAAGGAGAGGGGTAGAATGTGTATTGAGTTCAATTTATTTTTATGTTTCTTCAGAGATTTGCGGAGTCAGTCGTTATGCGTGAAAATAATGTTCTCATTTTTAAAAATAAGGGACGCTCTCACCTTGGTGGTCACTATCAATCTGACCATTCATACATAATATAGGTTGTCAGTTTGAATGGTTTTATGGAACAAATTAAGGCACAAAGAATCTTCTCAGAAGAGGAATCTTCTTTTTAGAATCTGTTTTAAAAGGAGCTAAAGCTAATATCAATTTATTGAACAGTGAAAATCTCAAGAAAAATGGGTAGCCAAGGCTTAAAACATTGCTCGATTTTTAACCTTGGTAATCCGTTTTTCTTGTGTTTTTAAGTCAAATAATTATTCGGGCAATTTTTGTGTATATTTGTCTAAGCAAAATTAGATAAAACTCTCAGTCAAAATTTTTATGTAGCATGTCGAATTGTCCCATAAGTCTTGTTTTTAAGTTTTCCCATTTTAAGCACATTTTTTTTCTGAAAATTTTATTTTTCTGCTCGACAGTTGTACGTATAGATGAGAGAACTAGGACGTTATTTTGAGTCGAAAACACCTCCGCCGGGCCCCTCGAAGTGGTCGGGCGATGTGCTTTTTGCAGGTGGGCGGCTGAGGCGGCAGGTGGGGGCGTG